ACTACCGATGAATATGTCAGACCTAAGAGTGAGGTCACATACAACGCCCAGTTTCCTTATGGAAGTGACGGCTACAGAACCGATTGCAACAACATCCCAGTAAGTTTGTTAGTTGAGATTAATGATCATGCCACAGACATTCCTTTTTGCGAGATTTTAATATAAAGCACATTACTCCATTATCATCCTTGGGCACATGCAATTGAATATAGCAGTTTCGTGAAAAGTTGTCGGAAAAAAAAAGCGTAAAAGTGCATGTGATAACTCCGAAAGATATTGTGAGTAGGCAACCTCAAGATTTTAGGAAATCTGAGAAAACGTCATTCTAAGAACGAGACACAGTGGGTGTGATTGATTAACGGATTTATTTCGCTTAGTGAAGTAAAAGGAGTTTCTGGATACTCAGATTATCCTTTAACATTGTCGCTTGCACTTTTGCCTCGTTTTTAAGCAAACTTTCTCGAAACAGCTGTATGTGAATAACTTAATGTGACCACCTTGCTTCTAGGACTCCACAAAAAAGCCGTCTATAACAACTACCTGTTTGGTCGTTGATGTTAATGTTGTTCAAATTTATTGCTAAGTTCCTCTATCTCTTTTAAATTACGGTTTAGACAGACTGACTCCTCCATTCTGTATTGATTCTCCTTACTCTGCTTTCCACCAGAATTATTAAGTTTATTATTTCATTATGATTATTTCAGTTCACAGAAATCATCTTTGAGGATCACTCAACTGGAAAGAAGATTTACTTCAAGTCACGAAACAATCAAGCTATTAAGGCCTCCCTCAATTACGGAAAATCTGCATACTCCTATGGGTTGTGGGACGGTGTGGGGGCTGATCCAGCTTATTCCTACCAGCTTCTGATTTGTGATGATCCGTTATTCAGGGGCTTCCTGATTTCTGCCCACACAGGGGGTTGTTTTATGACATGCACCTATTGGTGCTCCGATGTTAGCGCGTCATTCTTCCGCACTGCGTTCGCTAATTCACATGGCCAGAAGGGTGGCGTGGCATTTGGTGAAAAAGGTCATGAAGTCCATGATAAAAGGCGTATCAGTATCGGCCTACGATAAGTTTTCTCCTTTCTTGGTTCCATGGTAAACACCAAGGCAGACCTAGATATAACATGCATTTATTTCAAATGTTTTCTGGGCGTTCAAGCATTAAAAGTTTGAGAGATTTAAGAGATTCGTCGCTTCTTTTCTTTTGAAGCAAGATAACAGATAACGTTAACCCTTAACTCCAAAATGTAGCGATGATCAGCATGTAATATCTCGATGTAACACGAGAGTCTGAACACTTAAACAAGTGTCAAGTTAGTATAATTATGGACTTCATGTATTTGTATAGATGTGTCAATACGCCGCCACCACCTCTAAATATAGAAGTAATGGTTATCGAACTGAGTGAAGTGCAATTTGGTCTGAAATCATACGCTTGATTTCAAATCAGACGAGCGTGCAGCGCATGTTTGATTTCAAATCACAAGAATCATTACGATTTCAATCCAAAGTTTCAATAAACGAAGTTCAATTACCACTTTATCACATCTATTTTGAATTGCAAAATTCAGTCACTCAATACAAGAATTTTTCCGGCTATACAGGTATTTTATTGATCCAGTGTAATGAGCTGGTTTGTAAAAAGTTGAAAAATTTGTCTCTCATTTTCCTGCAATTTGATTGATTTCTTCAAACAAACCTTGAAATTTGTTTGGTTGCTGTGTTTTAGTAAAGCTGTCTCATTGGCTGGGAAAAAGATGCGATTAAGAACATAATATGGTGCGATTTGTGATTAAATCGCATCGATGAGAGCCAGTCAGTTTGCAGGGATCACAGTCAAGTGGTTTTAATATGGATGTAGTAAAACCGCATGTCCGGGCCGGACATGCAGTTTTGGCCTTCTAAACAACGTCTTTATTGATCGGGCAGAGCACGTCACAAACTGCTAGCACAACAACCTTCTATTTTGGATTAGGAACTCGTAACAAGCCATAATAACCTGCAAAACACATCAAAGATTACCCAGCGAAGCGAAATTCGAAACAGGAACTATCTAAACTTATTATATGATGAAAGGAGGGAAACAATAGAGACAAATCACAATTTCAGAGCAAACTAAGTTCACCACGGGCAACTGAAAAGAAATGAAAATATAAAGAACGAGCTACTGAGGCTTCATGTTCTTACGAATCTATAGAAAAACGAAAAAACTGAGGAATGGACTTAAGGACTTATTGAGGAATAGCCTCGACACTGCATATTATTCTGTAAGGAGCTTGTGAAAGGAAAATGGAGATCCTTTCTTACTTTGCGAATCATACCAGGTAAGCGAGATGAGGTCGGCAAGATTTTGATGTTTGGGTATTCTTAATTTGAGTACGTATTGTAAATATAATTTGCTGGGTTTTATCAACGAGTTCCTAATGGATTTTGGTCACAATGGAGAATTTCTAAAGCTGACTGTTTGAATGTTTGCTCGCCTTCATAACGCTCTAAAAACTCGAGATTGGTAGTGAAGGTTATACGTTGAGAGCGTGGTAATATTTAAATACCTACAGCTTTACCGCAGTTCTTTCCTTTACGTCCTGGTGTGCATGTGCACTTATAATTATCATCGACACGCTTGGCCACACAAGTTGAACCGTTCCGACAAGGATTGCTGGAGCAAGGGTTTTGTGTAGAGGACACTAAGTTATATGAAGTAGCATAGAGCCATGTATTAGTAGCATGAAACAACATCATGGACTCATTACTTATTAAACAAGTCTATCATTTGATGGTCTGTGACTGGTGGAAACTAAAGTTAGGGAAAACTGTTAAAATAACTGAATTACACAGAATGCAAAATTAGGGAAGGTGGGCGGGTGAAATTAGCACGGAACTATATTATTATTTATTTTCTCAAGCTTGAATTCAAATAAGATATATACGCAAAAAAAATTCCTTTCCATCTTTAATCTCTGTATTCCCAAATCTTTGTCAAATACAGCTAGCACAAATACATTTAATCTTACCGGAACACCGAAGTGATTATAACTGAATTAGACTGTAGATCAATTTATCCAAGTTGTGGATCAATATTTGTTCCCGGGAAACCGAGCTCGATATAGATGACTCGAGCGCGAGAGCCTACCCGAGGCAATTTCTTTTGTATGTTAAAGTGTATTTGTTTCCCATATTTGCCTCATACTACACGGAAGAATGAATGAAGACAAGCATGACAGAATGATTTTGAGTTTCTGCCACAAAGTTTTAACCGAGCGCAGCAATAAATATCTTTCGAGTTAACTACTTTTATTAAAGTATAAAGCAATGGTAGTGGAGAGCATTTTCGTGTCAGTGATATTCCATTGTTCATTCTCGCATCACTCATCGCAGCAGAAGCGATAAGTTATTCAAAATTATCTCAAGTTAGAAAGTGGCTGAATTTTTTTTTGCTTTCTTTTTGTTTTTTATCTTTTTTTTTGGGGGGGGGGAGTAGCATCTAACTGTTTTTTAATTAAACTGCTAGTTATAACATTTCTCTTGAAAATTGTAAATGAAGGAACATCAGTTGCCTTTGATGATATCATTTGTACTCACTCCCTGAAACACAAGACTATCCAACCAAACAAATATAATGTTACGCTCTCAAGATCTTTTAAAGTAGCCGCTGAATCTTTTGCAAACTGAAATGAGATGAGGGTGATATCCTCTTACGTGTGTATTTCATCCCGTGTAATTTAGCCAAAGTGAACCGGTTTGTTTATGTTACATGTATCTATGACGCTTATGTTTAGAGCGAAAGCGTAAGCCAATATTTGCTCGGCTCTTTCTCAGCTTTTCAAACCAAGAAAGCTGGTTTGACGCCTTCTCCCGAAAGCTAGAATACAATTCATCAAAGTGTTTTTTTTAATGATTTGTGCGTTCGAAATCAATTTTTAAGCTCGTATAGCAAAACATTTGGTAATCGCGAGATAGAAGTCCTTTAAAGTTGTCCCCCATTGGACGCTTCTGGTAATTTACTTGTCGCTAATTTTAAACTTAAACATTAATGTTGCAGAGCTTTCTATGAATTCATTTATTCTTAAATCATTCTTCCACTGTTTGCCCGTTTGTCCACTCTATTTGAAAAGATCTCATAGACAAAACTGTTGATTATGTTTGGAAGGCGTCAACTGATCTACAAAAATAAATGTCAGAAGTACGAAAGACAAGCGACCACAGCTATTCATTATACGTCAGAGAGTTACTAATTAGCTGCAGGACATTATTTCATCTTTTCAAAACTCATAAGATGTAAGAATGGAATTACAAAATAGCTGACACCTATGTCGCCAATTCAACCTCTCGTTTTGCAGGTGCTATCTCTTTGCTATTCGCTTTATAATTTGTCATTACAAGTACAGTATATACTTTGCCTTGGCCAATAGAAATGCATTACTTGAAAAAATAAAAAATCAAGCTGTAAGTCATTAACTTCCAGAAGCGACTATTAAGTTCCTGTATTGATTACTGCTCTTCAATAGTCCTGCAGATGAATAATCTGCTGAAGCTTGGAAAATGACACACAGCCTCTCACAACGTACAAGCTGTCTTTATACGATGATGACCTTTATCTTGTTTGGACTGGCCATGACACAAGGTGCTTTCGTTTTAATATTTTATCGATAAATTCTTAATTTCTCTTGATGATATGACGACGACGACGTGGATGATGATGTAGATTACGAGGAGATAACTTCCTTATTAATTCACAACTTGTCCATAGTTTTCCTCTCAAAGCTTCGAACAATCGAGATGTACATTAAAAACCAGCGGACTTTTAAGAATTACTTGGGCTAATATTTACTTGGAGACTCCTCATACCAAAGAAATCTTTTAATGGAAGATTTTTGACGGGTTTTCGTTTACATGAACCGTTTACGAAATTTTTAACAAGAATGAAATTATTCTCCCTATGCTGCAGTATAGCAGGGGTAAATTCGCGTCGGTGCGGAAGTCGCCTCGCTGCCCCATGAACACCCTCGTGATGACTGGTTACCTGATTATTACATATGAACGAAGTTATGTTTGATTCGAACATGACCATGTTAGATTGTCGGATTTTGTAGTTTCAATGTTTGGTCCGTAAGCATCGATAGGGACTGTCTTGAAGTAGTTAACACTGACTTTGATTATTCAGCTCGGCTCTTCAGTTCTAGATGAAAAACATAAATACATTTGTTTTTCTAAAATATTGAAAATCACTGCAAAAGAAGATCAGTATTTTACAAACACCGTGCACGCGAAAGTCAAATTTTCATAAGTCGCCCCGTCTTAGTATTTTTGCTGCTTCTTTTTTTCTACATTTTCTTTCTTAGTTTTTCTTCTTAGCAAACTGACTCTCATTGAGAATGGTGATGATCGGTTACCTGATTATTACACATGCATTATTGACCAAACCTAAAGTCAAGATAACTGAATTTTGGCCGAGTTCTTTTTTGCGTTCTTGACCAATTGACCAAGACGACTTTGAGGTCCATAGAAAAACGGAAAAAGAGGCTAAAATCAAGCCATGCTTGGTCAAAAAGGATTTATCATACAGCAAAGAGATTTCGCTTTATTAAGAATCAAGAATGAACTGTTTATTTCGAGAGCCGGTAAACACTCGGCTTCTTTTCATTCTTCTTATAAACTTAGTTTTTGTCAGACGCCACAACTCGAATCCCTTGGGGGTATGATAAGCAATTCATTACCAAAGTTAGAGCTTTTGACAATCGTCAAATAAGTCGACAATAAGTCGCGAATTTAGAGAATCACTCGGATGTTCAAAGATTAACGGCACAAATACTCTAAATTTTGTCGTATTAATCTTCGATCGGTATGGTAACAATAAGAAGGGTTTGTTTGTTCTCAGTTGAGGAATATCAATCTTCTGGCGCAGCTGCACAAGTTTCTTTAATAGTCTTTGTATTATGCGTACGTGCATCATTTTATTGCCGACAGCTTTCATGGGAAAACTAATACTTGTTCCTGAATTCTGATACTTATTCGGTTTGCGCAAGGCCGTGGCTCATAAGGAAACAGTTTAATAATTCATTTAGATAGGGCCACAGGTACTTGATTTTGAAACTTTCATTTCAATATTGCGGAAATAACGTATACGTTTGTCTGTCAACAGTTCAGTTATTAAGTTCCGTGCCACAACATCGCTAAATTCGCGACTACAAGAAATGGATCTGATTGTAACAATGATCGTAATATATATCTTGATAATTTGTGAAGCTATGCGCTATTTTTGTCCTTTTGAACGAAGTTATGTTTGATTCGAGGATGAATAAGTTATGTTATCGAATTTTGTAGTTTCAATGTTTGGTCAGTAAGCATCGATAAGGACTGTTTTGAAGTATTTAACACACACTTTGATTATTCAGCTTGACTCTTCAGTTCTAGAAGAAAACCATAAATAGATTTGTTTTTTAAAATATTGAAAATTACTGCAAATGAAGATCAGACCATGCACGCAAAAGTCAAATATTTACGAGTCGCACCCTCTTGGTTTTTTTCGCTGCTTCTTTTTTTCTTCTTTTTCTTTCCCATTTTTTCTTCTTAGCAAAACTGACTCTCATTGAAAATAGTGATGAGTGGTTACCTGATTACTACATATGCGTTATTGACTAACCGTGAGGTCAAGAAATTTGCGTTTTTGACCAAACCCATGATCAAGATGGCTGGATATTGGCCGAGTTCTTTTTTTAGCGTTTTTATGGACCGAGACGACGTTGAGGTCCATAAAAACGGAAAAAAAGAACGAGGCTTATGTCCATCTATCTTGACCGAGCATGCGTGGTCAAAAAGGATTTATCATACAGCAAAGAGATTTCGCTTTATTAAGAATCAAGAATGAATTGTTTATTTCGAGAGCCGGGAGAGAAAGCTGTGTTTGTAGTACAATAAACCCACGAGAGTTGTTTATGTTAAGTTTTTATTATTTCTTTCTACATCTGAACTCAGTTATAGACTCAGCTTCTTTTCATTCTTCCTATAAACTAAGCTATTGTCAGACGCCACAACAAGAATGCCTTGGGGGTATGATAAACAATTCATAACCAAAGTTAGAGCTTTTAATTATCGGCGAGGCTGTAATAAGTCACGAATTTAGAGAATAACTCGGATGTTCAAAGACTGACGGCACAAATACTCAAAAAGTTTTGCGGCCTACTCAGTTTATTTCTCATTTTAATCTTCGATCGGTATGGTAACAATAAGAATAGTTTGTTCCGAATTTAGGAATATTTAGGAATATCAATTTTCTGGCGCAGCTGCACAAATTTCTATAATAGTCTTTGTATTATGCTTAGGTGTATCATTTTATTGACCAAGCTTTCATGGTAAAAATTAATTTTGGTAACTGAATTTTAATCATTATAAGGTTTCCCGAAGGCCTTATCTCATAAGAAAAAAGTTTAATAATTCATTTAGATAGGGCCACAGGTGCTTGTTTTTGAAACTTTCATTTCAGTATTGCGAAAATAACGTATACGTTTGTCTGTCAACAGTTTAGTTGTGAAGTTCCGGTCCACAACATTGCTGAATTCGCGACTACAAGAAATGGATCTGATTGTAATAATGACCATAATATATATCTTGATAATTTTTGAAGGTATGGTTTCTAAAATTTGCTATTTTTGTCCTTTTGACCGAAATAATGTTTGATTCGAGCATGAATATGTTATATTATCGGATTTTGTAGTTTCAATGTTTGGTCCGTAAGCATCGATAAGGACTGTCTTGAAAGAGGTTAACACTCACTTTGATTATTCAGCTCGGCTCTGCAGTTCTAGATGAAAACGATAAATGCATTTGTTTTTTTTAAATGAAGTTTTGTGGAAATTGAGACCAATATTTGACACGCACCATCCACACGAAAGTCAAATTTCACGAGTCGCGCTTTTTTTCGCTGCTTCTTTTTTTCTTCCTTTATTTTCCTATTCTTTTTTTCTCGGCAAAACTGACTCTTACCGAAAACTCCTCCTCTCCTCTTTTTTGGCCTTTTCCCCCTTTTTCAGAAGTGGTTTCACACGATGTCGAGTGTTTTTATCGTTGCAACGTCGCAGAAAACGGACGATCCGTGTGAACTGAACATTTGGGAGTCAAACGATGGAGATCAAAATAATGAAAAACGGGTTCAGTTGGTTATGAGTACTGAAACAGAATTGCTTTTTTTTCTACGACTAAACGCATCGAAAAGGCTCGATATAGCTCAAAATCCTTCACGGAAAGTCTGACTCGATCATCATCGCTATGATAACAAGTGAAGACTAAGATCTTAGTTAACACCCAGGTATAACAGCTTGTAGCTTTAAATCGTTACTCACAAAACGGTCACTGCTAAATCGAACTACACTCACAAAGTACACCTACCTCAAAATGTTTTAGGAGGGTTTTGATGTGGTTAAATTTAGCTGTTAAGTGTAAGAATTTCCAATTTTTTAACCTCTAGTCGTATAAAAAGTTAACCGTCGATTTGTTTTTAGATTGAAACAGAAAGAAAGTAAACGTTAGCTGTAAAATGGCCAAAATTTTTATCGTCAGTTAGATGTCTTAATGTTATTGTGTCGGGTTTACCATGTAATCGCGATTTACCCGAAAACAATGGGTAAAAGGCAAGGCATAAACGAACAAGAAAAATTTGGCAACCAAAGAAGCTTAAAACGAACGAGTTTCTTGCATTTACTACGAGACCGTGAAGTAGATTCAGCATGTTTGAATTGTTGTTTATTAAAATTCACGGCCAGAAAATTGCGAGAGTTTGCGTTAAACTTCTCAGAATTTTACGATTTAAACCAAAATCTTCAATTGAACAATACTTTAAGGACATTAAGAATTAAAATAATATTTGCCGTTCTAGAGAATTATCCCCTGGTCGCAAAGCTTCAATTAAAGTCAGAAAGATGACTTTGTTCTTTTCAAGGCATAATTCGCATCGCGTTTGGGAACGAAGTACCTTTAACTCCAAAACGAATTTCTTCGCTTGAAAGGTCTACATTCTCATTGTTTTTCGAAAAAAGCATAGTAGATTAGTATATTTACTTTTCATTTTGAGCTCCAAAACATCTATCTAAGTCGGGATAGAACGGAAAAGCAATATTGAAAGGGTTGAGAACTCGACGGGAACTTGCAGCTGAAGTGAAACTGCATAGTACACGTCAAGTTATGGATGCACGTGCATACATGAGCATTTTTAACATGGAATTTACCTTTGTCTTCTCTCCAACTATTGCATTCATGGCGACCTCTTTCATTTATTTTTGGGTCCAAAGCGATAGAAAATATCTGCGAAGTTTCGGCATGCTGGTTTTAGCTTGAGGTTGACATTTTTGGCACAGTGAAACCATCAATTCATGTACGGCATAGATTTATATCTGCATCTATACCTTCAATGCTAGAATTGAGCAGTGACTCGGTTTTATGTATGTAAATTAGTCATGCAAACTCGTCAATGTTTCTCAAAATCTTTAAACAGCATCGCACTAAACAACTTTGACCAAGATTGTGACATTTCTTCAACACAGAAATATACTTTTTGCACGATATATGAAGGGGGAAGCTTTCTTTGAACTTGAAATGTAAAATCAAATCTTGACTCGATTTCTTTCCTCGGGAATCCAACTAGGATCTCTTGCAGGTGTTTCTCACGTCAACTTCGAGCATAAAGAGTTTGCTTACCTCAACATCACGAGAATCTGCTCACAACTTGTCCAAAAGGACATCGAGTGTGGATTTGCCTGTTTGGAAATCACTTCATGTTTCTCTTATAACCTGGCTGCATTTCCTGATGCCAATGGAAAACTGTTATGTGAACTGCTTCCATCAGACAAGTATAACAACTCAGACAAATTCATTTACAGCCCGATTTTCAACCATTTCAGTGTCCCGGTAGGTGCAAATTTATTTGTTTCAGTTTTTGCAACTGACAGGAAAAAAAACTGGTTGTCAGAGGAATAGTGTGAACTGAATTTATAGCATTATTAGTGGCCAACGAAAGTCAAAAATACACATTCGGAAGTACTTTCATCAGCCCATGTTCTCTAATTTTGTATCACTATAGTGTCCACCAATCACAGACCGTCGATTGATAGAGCTGTTTAATAAATAATGAGTCGTTGATATTGCTTCATGCAAATGACAGCTTATTCATTTTAAACAGAACCCTTGCTCCAGCGATCCTTGCATGAACGGTTCAACTTGTGTGGCCAAGTACATCGATGATGATTATCAGTGCGCATGCTCTCCAGGATTTAAAGGAAAACACTGTCAAATAAAAATAGGTGTGTCGACGTAGCATGTTCAATTTATTACCATCCAACTATATCTTGCTCAGTGCTACATTTATTTCGATATCTATTGCGACGTGAGTGAGTTTTATTCTGATTTTTTTCCTTTCCCAAGCTCCGGGGAAAGACTGCAAAGACATTAAGATGCGAGGTGATTCTGGGGGAAATGGTATGTATCAATTGGACCCGGATGGAGGAAGCCTTTCAAATGCATTCTGGGCCTACTGTGATATGACGTCATACAATGGAGGTTGGACCATGTGTTACACTACCGACGAATATGTCAAACCCAGGACCGAGGTCACTTACAATGCCTCTTTTCCTTATGGAACTGTCGGCTACAGGACCAACTGCAACAACATCTCTGTAAGCTGATTGAATAACCTCTTATCTCTGTGAATATGGATCGCTTAGTATATGTGCGTATGGATCTCGAAATACTACTTCATTTTTAGTTTTTTTGCATGACACACACATAGGTGTTTCGATGTACATAATTGTTTGTTAGTATTTTTTTTATTAAATTCAAGAAAATTTTTTAAACAATTCTCTCCTTATGTATAATGCATTTCATATACACAGATCTATTCGTTCACTGCACTAAAAATGGTTGCTGCTCTGTACCTTCTCAACTAAAGAAAATACTAAAGCACATAAAATCTGGACTAAGGCAGTAAAAAAGGTCGGAATTTCACACCATATAATACGAGGCATTGTCTCTTTTTCTAGTTTACAGAGATTATGTTCTTGAATCATCAAACTTTGGCTAAAGTGTACTTCAAGCGAAGAACTAACCAGTCCATAGCGGCCAATTTGAATTATGGGAACAATGCTTCTACTTATGGATTGTGGGACGGTGTGGGAGTGAACAAAACCTACGACTATCAGCTACTGATTTGTGATACCTCATTCTACAGTGGCTTCTTCGTTTCTGGTTACACAAATTGTTACAAGGATTGTGATGACTGGCGTGGCGATTATGTCTCCCCATACTTCCGCACTGCATCTACCAGTTCGCATTTCTCTGGTGTGGCCTTTAACACCAATGGCGCCCGAGCACTCGATAAAAGGCTCATCAGTGTCGGTCTGCGCTGAGACATTTACGGATTGAGCTGCATAATTTCCTTCTTATGTATGTCATATTTAAACATGAGCATAACAGATTAATCGTATCTAGGCTTGTCCCGATTGTGCACGGCAACTTCTGAGCAACTTTTTGTGGTCCAAACAACCTCGAACAATTTTTGCCTTATTGCGCAATTTTTGTGCAAAATATGGCTTTAGGGCACATTTCAAGCACAAAAAAGTCAACAGTTTTCATAGAAAACTTTAATGTATGCAAATTTCTGAATGTTTATCAACACTTGAGAACTTTTCTCATGCCTGTTGCGATTCTTATCTGATATTGTAAGATGGCAAGACGTCAAATGAAACATGTATGTTGTTCCTTTAGGCATAAGAGTATCCTTAAATTTCACCCATATTTGCGAGCAATTTACTACAGCTAAGTTTTAAGCTTTTTTTCTTGACGAATGTTTGCAATTATTGTGAAGAATGAAAATAAAGATTTGGATTAACGTTTGAATAAAATAACAAGAAATTTAGGTAGTCACTTTTTGTATAAATTTACTATTTGTCAGCAACAGCAATTTGGTATTTCAACGAGTAACTTTCCAGAATTTTACGCGTACAATCAAGATAGGCCTAGTCGTATCTCCAAATAGCCCTGCCCCATCAAGTAATAATAATGATAATAATGATAACAATAATAATAAGATACATATTTTAAGAGGAGACCTCCATCACTCTAAGTGGTTTTCAGGGGCGTATGCGGAGTACATCTGAGGTAGGCGTGCTTTTGATGTCCTTGCCACTATAATGGAATGGATTAGCAAGAGGACGGGAACGTCATATTAGAACAGCGCGCAGCAAAAATTTCGATAAGAAACTGGGTCGAGAATGCCGTCGCGTTGTGTTGAAAAGTGATTTAGCAGTCGTTGCAACGAGAATCCTCATCTCGGCTCAATCACGGTAAAAACGGCAATAACAAAAAATCACACTGAATAATACAGTAGGTAAGCGTCGTGATATTTCATTTTCATAAACTTCAACATGAAACAAGTTTAATTTATTGATAAATTGATTCGTGATAAAATCAACAGCGTCCCATTCTTACAGTTTTCGTACAGGAGTAAAGAAATGTATCAAAGAACAGCCCTTTCACTGTTTTAAGCCTTGCTCAATAACAAGTGTGCTGAGCCCTAAAAGCTTGGATCTGGCGCTTGCCAACGATTGTGTTTCCTTTCGGGAATTCAGCATAAATGAAGCCCCAAAATACACCGAATAAACCGAAGGAAGGGACCAGGTTATCCTGGAAATGAGTCCTAAAATAATTGCAAACAGCATTATCTCGTTTATAAGCGTAAAATTTACGCAAATCCCAGGCGTTTGATCGCGACGAGAAAACCAGCGTAATGACGTCCTGAACTTGTTGGGGAGAACAGAAACGCTAACACCGGAATTTAGAGTCTAGATTTTCTATACGTTCCCGTCCTCATGCTAAATGACTCTAATGTAATTTCCATAATGTGGTGAACCAATCCTTCAGAGTAACGCTGGATTCTACGTATTTTGTCAATATATGAATATGTTGGTCTGCGAAATGTTCAGAGAGTGAGGCATGTAGCATAATATTTATCCACTATATGAATTAAAGGATGTTCAGAAATGGCTTCGCCACGTTGGTTGGGCTCGTAAGGTCAGCCAAACTTTAGGTGATCCCACGTTTAGGATGCATAAATTTGCGAATAAAAGGTCATGATGTCCATTATAAAAGGCGCATCAGAGTTGGCTTACAATAAAAGACAGCTTTAACTTTAAAAACTTGTAACTGCATGGTAATTGTATCTTTTAGCTTAATGTAACTCAGGATGTATATATTACTAACACACGCCAAGATTTGCCCATCTTACACCTATGCGCAGATTGTATAAATGTGGTGGAATCTGTGAGACAATACAGTCAAGAAAGATGTAGTAGCCAGTAGTTGAAGCAATTTACATGCTGATTTCGTAGAATCTGTGTCACAATACAGTAGAGGAAAAAGCAGTAGTAGTAGCTGAAGTAATTTACATGCTGATTTAGTAGAATCTGTGTCACAATACAGTAGAGGAAGAAGTATAGTAGTAGTCGAAGTAATTTTCATGCTGATTTAGAAGAATCTGTGTCACTATTAAATAAAGGAAGTATTCGTAGTAGTAGTTGTAGAGGCAATCTACGTGTAACATCCCTCTGTCATTAACCAACCAAGGTAACAAGAAAAGACAGAGGGCTTCATCTTAATATGACACCAGACTCTCTTGAGAGAATATTTCACAAGTATAATGTAAAGAGTGATTTCGGTATTGTTGTAATTTTATAAATGCAACATTTTGTAGGTAGTTGTCAATATATAATCCATTGGAACAATAGGAAAGCAGGCGGAATGATTACGAACAACAAGATTTGTTCAGAAAGAAAGTAGAAGGATTATGTATTTTTAATTCTACGTTTACGTACATTCATTGGCTTAGCAAAGCAATAAACAGTGAAACCGAAGTAAACAGTTGATATTTTGTGTTGGCATCAAGCCTCTGTCTAAAGGGGAAAACTGAGATGACAGGTTACAAAAAAGCAAAGTTGTAATTAGTTTGTTTACAGTTTTTTTTTAAAAGCAGCATCGCAATCTTCTATGAACAGTCTTGATTTTAACTTTCTGTGCCTGCAGTAAATCGAAAACGAGTTCGTAAACATCCATTTGTATCATGAATATTTCGTTCAATTCAACTGATAATCACGCAGTTCCATTAGAAGGACGAAGTCGAAATTGCCAACCTTCGTAACGAGAGGTTGTTCAAGTCTTGTCTTAAGTCATTCTCTTATTGGCTCCCGCGGTCAGTGTCGTTGTCAGGTGCAGATATTCAAGTCAATATGTAATTGGCTTCCCAGGGTGAGAAAAGTTCTTCTGAGGCTTGCTTCACTGCGATGACCAGAGATCGCATGATGAACTAGCCGCGATGGGCCTCGGCATGATCGCAGTCGCTCTGACGCTGTCATGATTAGAATGAATTTTGACATCATTCCTTTTTTGTTCTGCTTTGTTTTTGAACATAAAACTTTATATACTATACGAGTGTTAGCTGTATTTGATTTTTATTACCGTACGTAAGCTCGCAATCTAGCTGAGAGTGAAAACCTTTAAAACTCGGACTGTCCATTTTGTTTTCTCTTTGAAGATTTTCGTCTGTGCTCTCGTTTTAATAACGTAAATTACGGCGCCTGGCATGTTTACAAACCTTGGTTTGGTTCTCCTGTTGCTACTTGCCAGCTCGCTTGTTCCGAAATTTCCTCTAGTGTCTTACATCAACTTCAAACTTGAAGCGTTTTCTTAATCAAAAAAATTACAAGAATTGGTTCAGAGCTTGTCCAAGATGGCAGCGAGTGCGTATTTTCCTGTTTGGAAATCACTTCGTGTTTTTCGTATTTTTGTGTGAACTGCTTCCGTCCGATAAGCACAGGGAATCCGATGAAGAATCCCATATTCCATCATTTCAGTAAAACTGGAAGTGCAATCTTGTTTCAGTTTAAGCTATACGTCCCCTCCCAATTTAAGTAAATCAATTGGGGCTGCTGCTAATAGGAAAGTGCATGATTGAAAGTGTCATTTGACAGCTGTGATTTCGTATGATAACTTCACTCAAGAGAATATAAACTGTAATTCTCTTGTCTCAGTGACACGGACCTGGTTATAGAAATAGTAGTCCTTTTGTTAGAAAGAAAACTTAGCTTGTCAATCTTAAATATCTCGATTTTGTTAAAAACGAAGAAGACTCCGACACGCCGAGCGTAGAAGGGGGAGGGGAGTTAGGTCAGTTTGCTCTAATTAACGTTTTCTTTTTTTTCTTCTTCATAAGTCATACTGATACGCCAACTTCTTTTAGCCACATAAACTCTGTTATTATTTCTTTTAATGTTCAGGTCCATTTGTTGGACTTCATTGCCTGGACATTAAGGAACGAGGTTTTTCCCGGGGTAATGGCATGTACTGGTTGGACCCGGATGGAGGAAGCCATTTCAATGCATTTCAGGCCTACTGTGACATGATATCACACAATGGAGGATGGACCATGTGTTACACTACCGATGAATATGTCAGACCTAAGAGTGAGGTCACATACAACGCCCAGTTTCCTTATGGAAGTGACGGCTACAGAACCGATTGCAACAACATCCCAGTAAGTTTGTTAGTTGATATTAATGATCACGCCACAGACATTCCTTTTTGCGAGATTTTAATATAAAGCATATTACTCCATTATCATCCCTGGGCACATGCAATTGAATATCTGCTATGATAGCAGTTTCGTGAAAGGTTGTCGGAAAAAAAGTGTAAAAGTGCACGTGATAACTCCGAAAGATATTGTGAGTAGGCGACCTCAAGATTTCAGGAAATCTGAGAAAACGTCATTCTAAGAACGAGACACAGTGGATTTGATTGATTAACGGATTTATTTCGCTTAGTGAAGTAAAAGGAGTTCTGGATACTCAGATTATCCTTTAACATTGTCGCTTGCACTTTTGCTTCATTCTCAAGCAAACTTTCTCGAAACAGCTGTATGTAAATAACTCAATGTGACCACCTTGCTTCTAGGACTGCACAAAAAAGCCGTCTATAACAAGTACCTGTTTGTTCGTTGATGTTAATGTTGTTCAAATTTATTGCTAAGTTCCTCTATCTCTTTTAAATTACGTTTTAGACAGACTGACACCTCCATTCTGTATTGATTCTCTTTACTCTGCTTTCCACCAGAATTATTAAGTTTATTATTTCATTATGATTATTTCAGTTCACAGAAATCATCTTTGAGGATCACCAAACTGGAAAGAAGATTTACTTCAAGTCACGAAACAATCAAGCTATTAAGGCCTCCCTCAATTACGGAAAATCTGCATACTCCTATGGGTTGTGGGACGGTGTGGGGGCTGATCCGGCTTATACCTACCAGCTTCTGATTTGTGATGATCCGCTCTACAGGGGCTTCCTGATTTCCGCCCACACAGGGGGTTGTTTTATGACATGCACCTATTGGTGCTCCGATGTTAGTGCGTCATTCTTCCACACTGCGTTCTCTAATTCACATGGACAGAAGGGTGGCGTGGCATTTGGTGAAAAAGGTCATGATTTCCATGATAAAAGGCGCATCAGTATCGGCCTACGATAAGTTTCTCCTTTCCAGGTCCCGTGGTAAACACCGAGGCAGACCTAAATATAACATGCATTTATTTCAAATGTTTTCTGGGCGTTCAATCAGTAAAAGTTTGCTTGCTGGTACAAGTAATATCCTTTTTGTTCTTCTCTCCTTGACAACAAGTTATTCATCATCATTAGTCATAATAATTGTGTTAAGAGATCCGTCGCTGCTTTTCTTTTGTAGATTGCTTACTTTTGAAGCAAGATAACAGATAACGTTAACCCTTAACTCCAAAATGCGGTGATCAGCATGTAATATCTCGATGTAACACGAGAGTCTGAACACTTAAAGAAGTGTCAAGTTAGTATAATTATGGACTTCATGTGTTTGTGTAGATGTGTCAATACGCCGCCACCACCTCTAAATATAGAAGTAATGGTTATCGAACTGAGTGAAGTGAAATTTGGTCTGAAATCATACGCTTGATTTTAAATCAGACGAGCGTGCAGCGCATGTTTGATTTCAAATCACAAGAATCATTACGCCTTCCAAACAACGTCTTTATTGATCGGGCGGAGAACGTCACAAACTGCTAGGACAACAACCTTCTATTTTGGACTAGGAACACGTAACAAGCCGTAATAACCTGCAAAACACATCAAAGATTACCCAGCGAAGCGAAATTCGAAACAGGAACTATCTAAACTTACCATATGATGAAAGGAGGGAAACAATAGAGACAAATCACAATTTC